AGCTCATTGTGTCAGGCTCCATGCAGCAATGTGCGAAATCCGTAATTTAATTGTGTCAGGCTTCGTGCAGTAATGTGTTTCTTCCTCTACGATATAGCTCATTGCATCAGGCTCCATGCAACAATGAGTGAAATCTGCAATTTAACTCATTGCATCAGTCTCGATGCAACAATGTTGTTATCAAGCTTTTTTCTACGATATAACTCATTGCATCAGTCTCTATGCAGCAATGTTGTTATCAAGTTTTTTCTATGATATAACTCATTGTGTCAGCCTCCATGCAACAATGTGTTTCCTTCTTTGCAATACAACTTATTGCATCAGGATCCAAGCAGCAATGTATTTCCTTCTTTGCGATATAGCTCATTGCGTCAGGCTCCATACAACAATGTGTGAAATATGCAATTTAACTCATTGCATCAGTCTCCATGTAGCAATGTTGTTATCAAGCTTTTTTCTACGATATAACCCTTTGTGTCAGTCTCCATACAACGATGTTTTTATCAAGCTCCATTTCAAATATTCATCCCCTAGGTTGTGATATATATGTGAATAAACCTGCATAATCCATTGCATCAGTCTCCATGCAGCAATGTGTTATCAGACTTTGTTTTATCCATCCCCTAGGTTGTGATGAATAAGTAAAATCAAATTAAACCCAAAACTTACTATATTAATCTCCAAGCGTTAGTAAGTCAGCTTTGCAAAACTTGTATTATTTTACCTCCCAGATTATGATAAATATGTGAACGGTCTCTTCTTAGATATTGACGGGTTATTTGCATCGTTATATTTGAAGTCAAGCCAACTTTGGTTCAAACACTGGTAAGTTGATACATCATCGTCTATGCTTATTCTTCATACCTATGGGAACGTTGTACAATGTATCCTTATGATTTTTCTGACAAATTTTGGGATCTTCCAATATTTAACAAACTTTCGGTCTGAACTTGTGAGACCTGCGTATTCTCACACTATTCGATCGAAAAGTGATTAAATAGGGGCAGCTGTCATGCTCCCAATTTTCCCTACCATTATATTATATTTAGGGTTCTTTTTAAATAAATCATATTATATAGTTTTTATTTCTATGGGAAGTAAAACATGGAAAAGGAGTGTGTTGATCCAAAATGGACCATCAATATCTGATGGCCCATTAGGTTTTTAAAAGTCCATTTCAAATCGAAAAGGGAGGTGCATTGTTATATAGGGGGTTGTGTTCTAATTAAGAGCTGGTGGGCTTTCTAAAATCAGAAAGACCATTTTAGTCTTTTGGCCCAGGTAAAAATCCGGGTCCATCTCAAGTGTTGGAAGAGGGGAGGTGTATTATTTTAATCAAGGAGGTGTAAATCAATCTGTTTTTTAAGACCCAATAAGTTAAAACAGTGCGGCCCATTCAGTTTTTGGATTGAAAAGATTGTTTCTTTTAATTATAACATTATTATTATCTTGTTATAATTAATTATTATTACTGATTAGTTTCTTTTTTTTTTTGGTTCATTATTTTAATTTCATCAAAAGAAAGAGATATTGATTTTAGTTTTGAAAAGGCCTTTATTTTACACGGATCTTTTCCCAAGCCCAAAACTTTTAATACAGCCCAAAGTCCAAATAAAAAAAGACATGGCCCAAAACAAAAGAAGAACATCTACTGTTTGGATTGAAAATAGATAACGCGTGCTTTAAACAGGTACTATACAAATCGAAAGAAAGATATTGTGTGTTACTGTCTTCATCAAACAATATCTATACACTCATTGTCCAAAATAGAACCAAAACAGAAACACATCTTCATCATCAAACTGTACAGTAAACTTTCCAGAACAGGATCAAAATGAAAACAGAAACGAGATCAAAGCATTTACAACACAAATCAATTACAATCAGAAAATTTCCTAAATCAATCCCTAATAAACATCTCTTAATTTTCTTTCCTAAAACACTAATTCAAAAAAAAGCTATAAGAAGCGAAAACTAAAAACAGTAAAAAAAAAAGGATTTTGACTTAAGAAAGATCAATACAGAGGAAAGATAGAGAGAAGGAAAATTGGAGAGGGAGACATTCTGGCTCCTTGCCACGTTCTCGTTTAAGATTTGGGTTTCAAAATCTGAAACCCTAAATCTGTTCAGTCGTCGCCACTCTCATCCTCAAGCCGACATCGCTCTTGCCATCTATGTCCACCGCACCACGTACTTGCGAACAGAGAAACAAAGAGGGAACAATCAGAGGCCAAAGTCAGAGAAGAGTTCGAAGGGGATCGCTACAAATAAGGTAAATCAGACTTAGCTTGTAAGAGAGAAGAAAAGAAAACGAGCCTGTGGGAAAGCAGAAGACAAACAAAAATGAAACGATACTTTTATAAATTGAAATTATATTTATGCCTAAATAATTCCATACACGTGTGCTTATAACAGTTACCTTATGCCCTCATTTATAATTGTCTGATCTTAATCATTCGTTTCAGAATACGCACGCCCATGATATTTTCCTACGCGCGATCATATGTTGTCCGACGGATTCCCTCATCACTTGATGCGTTGGGCCTGGCCCATTGATAGCCAAACCCTCTTTTTATTTTGTTTTTGCTAACACATGCAGAAGCGTACCCTCCCCTGGCCAAACGGGCCAAGTCCAATATCTGGACTTGGACCCATACTTCCTGCACCCTCCAAGTTTTTGCGTAATGTAAAGATACACTCCCTGCCTTTTGGGTCCGAATTCAACATCTGAATTCAGGCTCATGTTGTTAACACTTCTCTATTTTACTACCTTAACATAATTTACACCCCTACGTTTTTAAAAAAAAATGATTTTCTTATTATTTTATTATAATTATTTTATTGTTTTCATTTTTTCTATTTTTTATATTTATAAATTATAATATTATATTAACTATTATTTTTTTAAATCATAATATTTTTCTAAAGACATTCAAATATATTTTATTAATATATTTCTTTTAATCATGCATTTATATAAAATATTTTCACAATTAACCCATAAAAAAAATAGTTAACCAACAAGAGAATCATTTTCATAACACATTAATTCAATAATTAATTTTCAAAAAGGAGTATGAAACATATTTTAATTAACCGCGTACTTAGTACAAAATCTCCGTTATTCACATACCCGGTACAAGGGGAATTAAAATATCTGCGTAATCCATAAAAAACACAAACTCACGTGAACTACGAATTGTGACTCTGATTTCTCCTAAGAAGATACGTAGGCATACGATGAAAGTCGTGACGAATTCTCCTAATAAAACATTAAAACCTTATTTCCTAAATATCACGCTTCTAAACCTAGTATCCTTGTGAGCAAGGTAGATGAGAGGTGCCTAACACCTTCCTTTCGTCTAAAATCGAGTCTAAAAAATCTAGAATCTCTAACTTTTAAGATTATTCTTTATATTCTCTTCCTTAGAATAAAAATTAAGGGTGACGACTCTAAATTTAAAACCAGTTGCAACACACTCGTTCTTTCTTTTTTAATTAAAATTTTAAATGTTTCTCATATTTCTTTTCTCACACTTTGTCACTTTTATTTTATTTTTTTTCTCTCTTTATTTATTATCACATAATCTATTTTTTATTTTAATAAAATTAAATTTTTATTCATGTCACAGATAATTATCAATTTAATATTTATTTTAATCAATCGTTTTTAATTTGAAAGACAAAAATTTTATTTTTAAATATTAATTTTTTTCTCCATCTCACAATTCTTTTTTTCTTATTATATGATTATTTAATACAATTAAATTTATAATATTATTGTTAATAAATAAATCATTTTAAATTTTAAATTTTAAATTTATAACATTATATCGCATCAAATATTTTTTTATTTTACAGTATCAACACAATGGCTTATAATTTTTTTTATTTTAGGAGTCATTATCAACACAATGGCCAGTAGTTTGATTAATGTATCTTGACATTAAAAAAAGAGGAATGCTATCATAATATATTTTGTTATTATAAATAATATTTTTTATTAAAACAATTTTCACGGTAAATAATGTTTGAGGTAAGTATTTGCATTAAATGATATGTGAAAATAGCATTACTCTTTTATTTACACCCCAAGAGAACTTTGTTCCCACCATTTTACATGGAAATAAACTGAAAATATAAAATTTAACTGTTTCGAGAATTCGTTTGTACCCACATATACAATTAAATAATCATAAAACAAACATAAAAAAATACATATTTTCCATCAGAATATTTTCAGAGATCTGCATAAATAACTTGAAACAACAAACACTTTGGACATACTAGTAAAAATAAATTGATAACTTGTTTATGTCAGCTTACTTCAATATATAAGCTTCCCATTACTACTTATGAATAAATAAATAAAAACAAATCAAAGAATTGGTTCTTAAAATCCAAAAATATGACGTAGGCATGAGAGAATTACACAGACCCTCAACTTAAGCACCACCACAAACATACATGTAACTGGAAATGGATAATTTACTACAACCTCCCAAATTATAAGTGTCTTTTTAGTCTAACAGAACTTAAACTTGTTGTTTTACTTTTCAAATAAAACATTAATTAACATTTACCTAATTTACCCTAATTAAATGACTTCTACTTTGAGACATACTATAGGAGTATGATCTTTGACAAATCATTAGGAGAGAAACAGACAAGTAATTCAGATTGAATGAGTTTTAGTGTAAATTATACGAGAGAATCCTTCCCCTATAACGTTAATATCCACCTACACATAATACATCAATACAATACATCCATGTAAGTATAAGCACCAAAATAATTTTTTTTTGTTCAACTATCTTGCAACCTTTCCTATTTGAAAATCTTCATTGTGCTCCTGCTGCATCTTCATTAAGACCATCCACATCCATATTCTAGCGTTTACCCTCAAACTGCACATTAAGTTGAAGTGCTATTACAAATGCTTGCTACAAATGTCTAGCTTTTAAGGCAGTAGATAAAAAGTACCACAGAGAAGAACTAACCTAGGGAATCAAATCTGAGGTAAGCGTGTGAGATATGCCCTTCACCTGGAACTCCACTCCATTCTTATTTTCTGTCTTTGCATTTTCAATGATATCAGTTACGTTGTCATGTTCAATATCAACTTCCTCATCAAACACATGAGCTGCCATGCTGGTTGACGGCACTTCAACCCTGGATTCCTTTGGCTGTATATTCATAGTTATGAATGGAAATGTGTCATTTGATATGAGCAAGGTAAACTTTTGAAAATCATATTTAAGACAAGATATAAAACAAGTTGTTCAATGTATGACCGAAACAAAAGAAACCCAAAAGAATGAATTATACAAACTTCATTTTATCACGTACCAGCAGAGGCAGAGCTGACACGAAATTAATTGAATTAGTACCTTTTCTGAATGAATGTTGTTTGAAGAATTCCATATTCCTTTCTTGTATTTTCCTTCAAGATCTAGATGCCTAGTAACTTCAATTCCATTGCCTAGTGTCTCTTCACAATCCTTGTCATTCGTTTTAGCAGACAAACTCCATCGAGAACGCTTCCCACTTCTTTCTGTTTCAACCAAATGCCCGACTTTTGACTTATCTGCACGCACGTTCAGGAGACGTCAGCAAAATAACAAAAGTGCATTTCGAATAACCATACTCGGTGGCAAGGAAAAACTGAAGCATATTATTTGCACAGCAAGAACAACCTTAAAGATGCCAACTGAACTGAAAGCAAATGTGCTTATGTACAAATAAAATTATCAGAATATGTAAGAAAGCTAACAACCAAATATCAGCCGAATTCAATTAATAGACCAACTGGTTTAAACTGACAACAAAAATCCATGATAAAATTGTGAAGAAGTGTCTTTGGCAATCAGTGACAGTATCAAGCAATCTTCTATAGTGCAAGGTTAGCAATAATTTAATATTAACTTCTAAGACTACAAAATAATAGGGGTAAAGATGTCATATACTTGCTTACATGTGTCTACATTTATGTTCTTATCAAATATGAAATGAAACAAGAATATGAGGACTCTGTTGAATTTGTTTGTTATATTAACAACTAGTAACATCAAAAACAAGTGGTCCAGAATCACAGTTTACAAAACATAAAGAAGCCCTTAACAGACAATTCTGCATTTTTCACAATACAAAAAAAGTCAGACACTAAACTACTACCTTTTAAGATATTTTCAGTGTTGCGCTACCCAATGTTTTGCTTAGCAAAGGTTACATTACTATTGAAAATCCAAAATAACTATCTCTACCAAACTACTACCTTGTTTTAACTCTTCCACAGAATCTGGTTTTGCTTGCAGCCATTTTCTGCCGGGAGAGCTGCCATTCTGCTCCAAAGTAAGTTTAGTGGTTGGAGGAAGACCAGTATTCTCACCATTGCTTACAATATCAACATTTAAATCTTCCTCACTAGCACCAATTCTAGAAATGTCTGTCAAAAGGTGATCTCCAAATCTTTGGAATCGAACCTGTGATCTAGATAGGAACAAACAAATTCAAAACAAAAATCACTACCAAAAAAAAAAAAGAATGCATTTGAGAAAAACAAATTACTTCAAATGATATGAATTCATACTATAAATATTGTATGTAACTTACCTCTTCAGTTCATCTTGCAGCTCCAAATTATGATTATGCATTCGAACAAACTTCCTTATTCTGGAAGTAATTCTGAATTTTACATTTTAAATAAAAAACAGAATAAATAAAAACCAGGAAAAAATTTTACATTTTACATTTTATATATCTATCAACATATACACTTCGAAACATTCCATTACCTTTTATACCCCTCGTTCTCCTTGTTTAACTGAGCCTCAAGCTCCTGAATTCTAGAATTAAGGCCATCCACTTCTTGAACACTCTCATCTAGGTAGACCTTCAACAATATGTATTTGAACATTGCAAGTCAAAAAGTCTGAATTGAATTTAACCCAATCTCAAAGATAATTATTTCAACTGCAAAAAACTAATTTTGCCTTCCAATTTTTCCTCTGAAAAGATCCGGAGGTATTTTTATGGGGTGGAAGATGATATAAAAGTAAACTGGGTTGGGTATGTTGGGAGAAAAGTGTGTCTTTCAAAAAAGATGGTAGACTAGGTGTAAAAATCCTTTTCCTTGCTCATTTGTTGATGATCCAAGACACTTGAGTGAATTTGGTGTGCATGGAGTTGTTTCCTCACACTCACTGCTATCTTAGATTGTTCTTATCTTAGATCGTATTGCAGTGACAGTTTGCAGTTGACCACGATAAAGTTTTCTGTGTTCGCCATAGCTTATGCTTCGTTGCTCATGCTTGGGTTCTCCAGCCGTAGTTCACGTCACAATAGAAGATTGTAGAAACAGACAGAATATAGTTAGTTAGCAACGTCCGATATTTTAGGGGATTTTCTGTTATAAAAGAGAATGTAGGTGAGTTAGGAAGGCATTCAGAAATATTGTTGAGAAGTTGGATAGGAAAGTTTCTCTCTGGTAGGAGCATATTGCTCTGCTTAGGAGTTCTTGAACTCTAGTTAACCCTTTCATTCCCCATTTCCACCATTGTAGAGCTCGCTCTTGAGCTCATCTTCTTCATTCAATAATATACGATTTTGTTACCTTGATTTTGCGGGTTCTATCATAATGTAAACCGATGTTTTTAGGTGCCAAACTGTTGGTGTAAGCCCTAGAGGCCAATACTTTAGATACTTATATCGAATTATTTATTAATAATAAAAGGCATTTCTTTATTATGTTTGCTTTTCTAAAATAATAGTCCCTAGAATAGTTTGCCTGTTTAATGAAATATTAAGTGTGACTTAATCATGAGATCCCATTAAACATAAGAACACTATTCTTAAAGTATCCGTAGTCGAACTTTATTGCGAAGTGGGATAACATTAAAGCATTGAGATTATTATGAAGATAGACTGATGATCACAAATCATGGATCATGGATAGAAGTTATCAAGTCTTGACATAGGTATGAATATTAAGAGTAATATTTATACTGGATTGACCCGCTATGAGAATACTACATAGAATGTTATGCAAAGTGTCATAAGTTATTCTCATGGTGATAATGATATATACCACCCTTCGACCTGAAACCACTATGGACCCTAGATGTAGAGTTAAGTACTTCTTTGTTGATCAAACGTTATCAGTAACTGGATGACCATAAAGACAGTTCATGGGTACTTCACAAAGCATGTTGAGGGACATGAGTGACCTAGATGAAATTTATCCATGCATAACAGGATATATGTCTAAGGGTCCAATATTGAATTGGACAAGGGTGACACGGTTTATGCCTTGTGTTCAATATAGACATAAGGGCAAAAGGATAATTGTACACACAAATATTATCACGGAAAAGTTTTGTCAGATCACATGACATTTTCGTGACTTGGATAGCAGTGATCTGTTGCTAGATACCGCTCAATGTTTATTATATTAAATGTGTGATTTAATATAATTGTCAACGTCACGAAAACCTATAGGGTCACACACATAAGGACAGGTTGATGAGAGATAGTAAATAAGGAACACCGTAAGGTATGGTGCACTTAAGTGAAATATGGAATGTGGTAAGGTACCACGCGCTTAAGTGATATGCGGTATATCATAAGGTATGATACCCGTATGCTTAATTGGGCTTTTAGCTTGCAGCCTTAATTGGGCTTTAGCTTGCAGCCCACATAAGTGGTTCTATAAATAGAACCGTTGTGGTGAAACATTTTACTTGATGAAAATTCGGTCTTGAAACTCTAGCCATATTTTGTCTCACTCTCTCACTGTTCGTGTGGACTGAATAGAGACGTTGCTATTCATCAATGTTCGTGATCACAACATCAAAGTCTGAACCATCACAAGAGGTAATGATTTATATCACTGACCATGCCCATTCGTAAGGATCACTAAAGGAAAATTTTAATTTTCCGCTGCATTTTGGATTGCAATTTTCCTTCAGTAGTATCAGAGCCACTTACGAAACCATGGATCTGATAGCTGTTTATTTTCTATACGTTTTGTATTAATCGGATTAAAACACTGAATGAATTGAATAACCGAGTAAATTAAATTTTGGCATCATGGTGTGTACGATTTGGACAAATCAATGTTGACTATGCTTCGGAATCCGACACTAGTATGGTGAAGCAGCGATACATCGGTCGTCCATAAGTTACACTAATATGATGGATCAAATTTATATATGATAATAAACAATTTTGGTGCAAAGATGGTATATTGGATATACTGTTTCGATTTCTTCCATTCAATCACAGAATGATTGTTATTCTTTTGAAAGATCATTGGTTCGCTCCAGAATTCGACGTTAGTATGGTGAAGCAATGGCATATTGATCGATCATACTGAATTATCAATTGAGTTGTGTTTGACGGTATGAAATTATTTGCATTAGGGTTCATGACGGCACAAGGGTTGTGCTGTCAGAGAGTTATGTGGTTTAGGGTTGTAACAGCACAAGAGTTGTGCGAAAAACGACGCTGATTTCAAATGAATTGTTCATTAAAACTTTGCATCGGGACGCTGCCCCTAACAACCTCGCAAGGAGGCGCTGCCCCCTTGACCCCCGTCTACTGACCGGGCAGCGGAACCCCCGGCTAACTCTGCGTAGTGTGATCAATTGTCGAAATTTAATTTGACTTATTTAATTAACAGATTTAAATTAGTAATAATAATAATAATAAAGTGTTTATTATTGTTGTCTTGTGGTGATCAGTTATGGCCTTAGATTCCCTTATTTTGTTTTTGGAATTTTAAAATACGACATGCGTCTCGTGCCTTTCTCTTAATCTCTCTATGTAACTTCTTTTCTCATCTCATTCCCTCGTATGTAAAATGAATATTCTTTTATGTAATGTAATTAAGAAAAGGAAGAAGACAAGATTGAAGAAAGACAACCATGGAGATCTATCTTGGAGAAGTTTAGATCGTTATTAGGTTAGCTTAGGTTCTCTCATTGGCTTGGGAGAACAATTGCGCTAGGGGCCATAACTGTATCTTTTTATATGTATGTTGATGCATGTGTTTGTATGTTGATGCATGTGAGAGACGATTTGCATGTTAAGCCGGTGAGATCAAACTAATATCAAATTCTCTGAAAAGGAATATTAAGTTTATGCTTTCCAAGTTTTAGCACTCATCAAGACTAGTATCGAACAATGTAGGTTTAACGTGAGGTGCATGTTCTATATTAGTAAGGTGCGATGGGATAAATATAATATCCAATTGTTAAAACACTGGGTCAAACTTAACTAAACAAATTATAATAAGATTATACATGTTTAGAAGCAAGAGTTGGGAATGATTCATATGATGGATTAGAATAAGGAGTTATTCACCCAACTGAAAATATTCGAGAATTGTATGAGATACAATTGGAAGGAGTTCCTACCTAAATAACCTAGTTTTGTGTAATCAGCCTAACGCTGACTTAAAACAAAGTGAAATGTGGATCTCAACAGACTAGAAAATCTTTCAACGGGATTTTCCAAATCAAATGATGAGGGTCATTTGTTTTGAGTAAAATAGTAGGAGCATATTTGATTAAAGGCCTAATTGAATATGTTATTTTAATGATACTTATATTTTCATATTTTTCTTGTAGATTACCATGACAACAAACACCTCTAACAACATTTTGTGATCAATCCTTGATAAAGAAAAGTTGTCTGGGATAAATTTTCTAGATCGGCACCGAAATCTGAGGATTGTCCTCAAGCATGATAAGAAGCTGTATGTCTTGGAGACACCTGTTCCTAAAGTGGAACCTCCTAGTTCTGCACTTAAGGCAGAAAGAGATGCTTATAAAAAGTATGTCGTTGATGTCAATGAAACCGCTTGCCTTATGCTAGCTACCATGAACTCAGTTGCAAAAACAGCATGCGAACATGTCAGCATTCGATATGATCGGACATCTGAAGATGCTCTATCAAGAGCAGGCGAGAAATGAGAGGTTTCAGATTTTAAAGGCCCTTTTTAATAGCAAATTAGCTGAGGGAACCCCTGTAGGTCCCCATGTACTCAAGATGATTGGGTATGTGGAGAACCTTGAAAGGTTAGGGTTTCCCCTTGAAAAGGAACTTGCAACTGATTTGATCTTGCAATCGTTGCCAGAGAGCTTCAGTCAATTTGTCTTGAATTTCAACATGAATGACATGGACAAAAGTCTTCTAGAGTTGCTAAGCATGTTAAGAACTGCTGAGCAAAATGTGAAGTCAAAAGGAAAGTCCATTCTGATGGTCAATAATGGAAAGAAGCTGAACAAAAGGCCCACCAAACAGATTGGTAAAGGAAAAGGCATGGAAGTTGCCAAATCTAAACCTATTGTTCCTGCTTTGAAGTCTAGTGGAGGCATAGCAAAAGAGGGTATTTGCTTCCATTGCGGTAAGACCGGACACTGGAAGAGAAACTGCCCAAAGTACTTGGAAAATAAGAAGAATGGAGTAGAGACTTCAAATTCAGGTATTTTTGTTATAGAAATTAATTTATCTACTTCTGCATCATGGACTTTAGATACTGGATGTGGTTCTCACATTTGTACCAATGTGCAGGGGCTAAAAAGGAGTAGAGATTTGGCAAAAAGTGAAGTTGACCTACGAGTTGGCAATGGAGCAAAGGTTGTCGCTTTAGCCGTAGGAACTTATGTTTTAACTTTACCTAGTGGTTTAATAATTCAGTTAGAGAACTGTTATTATGTACCTGCAATTAGCAGGAATATTATTTTCGTTTCTTGTTTGGACAAGTTTGGTTTTTCATTCATAATAAAGAACAATTGTTGCTTAATTTACTTGAATGATATATTCTATGCTTCTGCACAAATGAACAATGGATTGTATGTCCTTGATCTTGAAATGCCAATTTATAACATTAATACTAAAAGGATTAAACCTAATGAGATAAATCAAAGGACAAAGATACCTTTGGCATTGTCGCTTATAGGCCAGTTAAATGAGAAACGCATTTTCAAACTCCATAAAGATGGACTCTTGACCTCTTTTGGTTATGAATCATATGAGACATGCAGGTTTTGTTTAATTGGAAAGATGACAAAGTCCCCATTCACAGAAAAAGGTGAAAGGACTAACGATCTTTTGGCCCTCATACATACTGATGTATGTGGACCACTGAACATACCAGTCAAAAGAGGTTTTCAATACTTCATCATATTTATTGATGATTTCAGTAGATATGATTATGTGTATTTAATGAAACACAAATCTGAAACCTTTGGAAAGTTCAAGGAATTTAAGAATGAAGTACAAAACCAACTAGGTAAGAATATTAAAGTTCTTCAATCAGATCGAGGCGGTGAATATTTAAGCCTAGAGTTTGATGACCATCTAAAGGAATGTGGGATTCTATCCCAACTTACTCTCCAGGAACACCACAATGGAATGGTGTATCTGAGAGAAGAAATCGAACCTTGTTAGACATGTCTGATCTATGATGAGCCACGCTGATCTTCCAAACTCCTTTTGGGGACATGCACTATTGACAGCAGCTTACACACTTAACCGTATTTCATCCAAAAAGGTTGAGAAGACACCATATGAGATATGGAGTGGTAAGAAACCACATATGTCTTACATGAAGGTTTGGGGTTGCGAAGTTTATGTGAAACGACAAATCTCAACTAAGCTTGAACCCAAATCTGACAAATGCTTATTTGTGGGATATCCTAAAGAAACAAGAGGATATTACTTCTACAATCCTTCGAAGGGCGAATTGTTTGTCGCTCGAACTGAAGTTTTCTTGGAAAAAGACTTTATTTCCAAAGAAATCAGTGGGAGGAAGGTAGAGCTTGAAGAAATTCAAGAATCACAAAGCATTGATACACCTATGGAGGAATTAGAGCAGGAAACACAAGTAGTTGTGGAAGAGCAACCTGCTCAAGTAGAACAAGACCAGCGTAGGTCAAACAGGATACGTCACCAACCTGATAGATATGAATATCTCATAAGTGATCAAGGTGATGTATTGCTCATGGTTCAAGATGAGCATATGACCTACCAAGAGGCCATAACTGGTCCTGAGTCTGAGAAGTGGCTAAAAGCCATGAAATCTGAAATGGATTCCATGTACACAAACCAAGTTTGGACCTTCGTAGAACCACGATTTTGATAACTAGTCAATGATGCCCTTCTATAGGAGTTAACCCTATAGGATGCAAGTGGGTCTTTAAAAAGAAGACTGACATGGATGGTAAGGTACATATCTATAAGGCAAGACTGGTTGTAAAAGGCTATAAACAAATTCATGGGGTTGACTATGATGAAACCTTTTCACCAGTTGCAATGCTTAAATCTGTTCGGATTTTACTTGCTATCGCTGCATATCATGATTATGAAATATGACAGATGGATGTAAAGACTGCTTTTCTTAATGGGAATCTTCTTGAGGATGTGTACATGACACAACCTGAAGGATTTGACATACCACATGAAATCCAAAAGATATGCAAGTTACAGCGATCAATCTACGGATTGAAGCAAGCTTCCAGAAGCTGGAATCTTCGTTTTGATGAAACAGTAAAACAATATGGATTCATCAAGAATGAATATGAGCCTTGTGTCTACAAGAAGGTTAGTGGGAGCATGGTTGTTTTCCTGATATTATATGTAGATGACATATTACTCATTGGAAACGATGTCCCCACCTTGCAACAAGTAAAGACTTCGTTGGGGAATGCTTTTCTATGAAGGACCTAGGTGAAGCAGCCTATATATTAGGAATCAGGATCTATAGAGATAGATCACAAAAACTGTTTGGCCTAAGTCAGAGTACATACATAAACAAAGTGTTGAGACGCTTTAATATGAATGATTCCAAGAAAGGATTCATACCTATGCAACATGGCCTGTGTTTATCAAAAACACAATCTCCTTCAACTAAGGAAGAAAGGAATCGCATGATTATGATTCCATATGCATCTGCAATAGGATTTATCATGTATGTCATGTTATGTGCTCGACCACATGTCTCGTATGCTTTAAGTGCAACGAGTAGGTACCAACCTGATCCCGATGATGCTCATTGGATAGCTGTCAAGAATATCCTTAAGTACGTGATAAGGACTAAGGACTCATTCTTGATATATGGAAGTCAGAAAGAGCTTGTTGTAATTTGATACACTGATGCTAGCTTCCAGACAGATAAGGATGACTTTAGATCGCAATCTAGTTATGTGTTCTGCTTAAATGGTAGCGCTGTGAGCTGAAAAAGTTTAAAGCAAGATACAGTTGTTAATTCTACAACCGAGACCGAGCATATTGTTGTTTCAAATGTAGCAAAGGAAGTTGTTTGGATCAAGAAGTTCATTAGTGAACTTGACATAGTCCAGAGCATTGTGGATCTCATTGATCTCTATTGTGATAACAATGGTGTTATCGCATAAGGAGCCTAGATCTCACCAACGATCCAAACATATACTTAGGCGTTATCACCTCATTCGAGAGATAATTGATCGGAGAGATGTGAAGATATGTAGAGTACCTACACTTGACAATGTTGCTGACCCACTAACAAAGCATCTTGTGCAGCAGAAGCATGATGGTCATACTAGATCTATGGATATTAGGGGTATGTCTGATTGACTCTAGTGCTAGTGGGAGATTGTTGGTGTAAGCCCTAGAGGCCAATACTTTGGATACTTGTATCGAATTATTTATTAATAATAAAAGGCATTTCTTTATTATGTTTGTTTTTCCAAAATAATTAAGTCCCTAGAATAGTTCGTCTGTTTAATGAAATATTAAGTGTAATTTAATCATGAGATCCCATTAAACATAAGAACATTATTCTTAAAGTATCTGTAGTCGAGTTTTATTGCGAAGTGGGATAACATTAAAGCATTGAGATTATTATGAAGATAGACTGATGATCACACCTCATGGATCATGGATAAGGAGTTATCAAGTCTTGACATAGGTATGAATATTAGGAGTAATATTACTGAATTGACCCGCTATGAGAATACTACATAGAATGTTATGCAAGGTGTCATAAGTTATTCTCTTCGACCTGAAACCACTATGGACCCTAGATGTAGAGTTAAGTACTTTATTGTTGATCAAATGTTATCTGTAACTGGATGACCATAAAGACAGTTGATGGGTACTTCACAAAATATGCTGAGGGACATGAGTGACCTAGATGGAATTTGCCCATCCTGCATAACAGGATAAATGCCTAAGGGCTCAATATTGAAATGGACAAGGGAAACGATTTATGCCTTGTGTTCAATATAGACATAAGGGCAAAAGGGTAATTGTACACAAATATTATCACAGAAAGATTTTGTTAGATCACATGACATTATCGTGATTTTGGTAGCAGTGATGTGTTGCTAGATAGCGCTCAATGTTTATTATGTTAAATGTGTGATATAATATAATTGTCAACGTCACGAAAACCTACAGGGTCACACACATAAGGACAGGTTGATGAGAGATAGAGTAAATAAGAAACACCGTAAGGTATGGTGCACTTAAGTGAAATATGGAATGTGGTAAGATACCACACGCTTAATTGATATGCGGTATATCATAAGGTATGATACCCGTATGCATAATTAAGCTTTTAGCTTGCAGCTTTAATTGGGCTTTTAGCTTGCAGCCCACATAAGTGGTTCTATAAATAGAACTCTTGTGTTGAAGCATTTTACTTGATGAAAATTCGGTCTTGAAACTCTAGCCGTATTTTGTCTCACTCTCTCACTCAATGTTTTCGTTCGTAAGCAGCTAGCTATGTGTCCGGAAGTGATCTGTTCGTGTGGACTGAGTAGAGACGTTGCTATTCATCAACGTTCGTGATCACAACATCAAAGGTTTGAATCATCACAAGAGGTAATGATTTTTATCACTGACCATGTCCATTCGTAAGGATCACTAAAGGAAAATTTTAATTTTCCGCTGCGTTTTGAATCGCAATTTTCCTTCACAAACAACAATGACAAAAGACATATGCCCCTTTTAGTATGCAGGTTAGAACGAGACAAGAGATGACATGTGTTTTCTTTTATGTCTACTGCAAGTTAAAAACTAAATTGATCGGGACATGATGTTAAAAAAGTAGTATACTTGAGATGCTCTAAGAGAATGAAACCGAATGACATCACAAACAATATGGTCATTTATGATTGGAATTTTTGCTGCCATAGAGAATGTGAAAAAATGCAATTACAAGAGACAAAACTAACCGATAATTGGAATTTTCGGTTCTCAAGAGTTTTGATATCATAATGTACTTTCTTCAGCTGCAAACATTTCTAAGAATAAAAATAAACATGACATTTCACATAACAATAAAATGTATTGGAAATGTTTGTGATAGAAAGATTAAACAATGTATAACCTGATCTTCAACAGTATTTCTAGAACCAGAGGAAAGCATTTTTCCATCTTTAACTTGATCATTAATTCTATCCGAGACCTTTAAACTTCCAGATATATCACTTTGGCCACTGATGACCTGTTTTCTCTTATGTCTTTTGTCACTGCACCAGGGGATGTTGATATTTAGACTAAAATCATGGCCGAGGATGTGAAACAAAATGAAATATTAGATGTACAAACTAAATGTTGGCCATGAAGAACATATTACCATCATAAGGCAATTTTGCCTGCAGTCAGAACAGAACATATATGGAATAAATTAAACTAAAAGGTTCTGTTTTGTACGATTAGGTTCTACCCTTCAGTGTATTCAAAATAACTACATTTTCATATCAAATATGTAACTACAATTGCAAAACAATGAGACCCTTAATATCAAAAATCAATAAACATTATATCATCCCTTTAAAATTATATATGATATATAATTTCTTGGCAGACCAAGTATACATTTGTTATTTCTGTTTTGCTTCACATGTTTCTCCTTAATTCATTCACTTCTTATTTATCATTCATGAAGCAAAGTGAGTTTCATGAAGAATAAGTTGACCCTTAATATCAAAATAAACATAATATCATCAGCTTAAAATTACATATGATATATAATTCCATGGCAGACCGAGTATACATTTGTCACTTTTGGTTTGCTTCACATGTTTCTCCTTAATTCACTCTTTCTTATTTATCATTCATGAGGCATCAAGTCTCCTCCGTCCTTTGCTTCCCCATTTCTCAGTATTGTCTTTACCCAAACATATGACAATCCTTTTTTTAATACATTTCTATTTTCCACTTTATTAGTTGATATAAGTATATTTTAATATGTACATTCAACAAGAACAAAAGTAGTAGGTAACAATTCCAACAAAAATGAAAGGAGAAAAATAACATTGTGAATAGTGGTTCATGTTAATTTACCTTCTTTTCTCTGGAGACCTCGGTGGACTGTATTCTGCAATTTTAATTCATGGAACATTAGGAAAGAGAAAAGGGGATCATTAAGCAAAACAGTGAGTGAAATCTATGTGCTTGTGAGGGTAGCTCACATCTATGAGTATAATAACTTCATAGTGAAGCAGTAAACACTCTTCTTTGCTTACACAAAATTCACGACAAAATAGACTGAAATAAGACCAGTGTTGTCCATGGCGGAGAGCCAAAATCCCACCATACCGGCCGTTTTGCGGCGCTGTTATTGCGGATTATGGCGGAAAAACCCACAATAGCGGCCAATATTTACCATTGCGGCAAGCCCCAAAACAGCCATGTATATCCATCATAGCAGCCATGGCGGGGCAATTTGATAACACTGAATAAGACATGTCTCTGATAATCTCTTAAAAAAGGTAATAGCAGATACATTCAAGATTAAGAAGAAATCAGTCTTACAAAATATAAAATGTAAAATTTCTATCACGGATAGAAAAACCTTGTTAGAGTGACTTAGAAGTTAGAACTTTCCCTCTATGGTATGACTAAACTAAACTAAGAAATGATAGTAGAGACAGTGAGAGAAATCATAAATAGCGATGTTGTGTCTAACCGCGAATAGTCTGTCGACCTCTTGCATCACGAGATGGTGAATATCTTGGAGGTGACAATTGCCTTCTATCAAGTTTATCCCTCAAGTCATTACCTAAATAGTCTTTCCTTCCTATAATAAGAAAATAAGCTTTAGTATTATAAACTAAAATCAAAAGCAACAAAACATTTCAAAAGCTAAAAACAGAGTATAGAAACTGATAATGAAGACCAAGCTTACCCTTATCTGGAATAACAAGAGAAACATAGTAATGAATATTGTTAGTGCCTCCCATGTTAGAGCAAAAAGGCGATAGAAAATATCACCGTCATAGTATGACAAATATAGCAAAACCCACGGATGTAGCATATATCTTTGAAGTATAATCAAGGTAGCAATGGATTAACAACAGTTCACATCCTCATCTTGTTGAGAAGTATGATATATAATATATAAACCTCAAATGGAGAGTCATATCCGAGATGCTTAAGAAATAAAAGTCCATCCGAAGACTATCAGATATAATATCTCCTGATATCATCTTCATTAATTTGTCTATGACCATGTAGCCATGACATATCCAGAAGTAATATCCAAAAGGAATATCATAAGATCCACATCTAAGTAGTGGAATTTGTATATGAAATGATTGGGAAACTAGTTCAACTCTTCTGATCATAATAGGAAGCTGGCAGATAAATCCATGAAAGTCTGATTAAGATATTGTAGCTCCACAGATTCATGGAATGAAGCATATAAAACATTGCCAAGAAAATACTATGTCAACAACAGCAGCATAGCCTCTAAGATAAACCAATTGGCAAAATCCATGTGAAGAGTCTCTCATAAATGAAATATCCGTACGGCTAGAAATGCAACAGTCTACAAGATAATGTGGACATACATCCTATTGTTGAAATTGTTGAAATTGTTGAAATAGAATATATTAATCTGAAACTAATCCCACATGATATGTGTTATTGCATATGTATGTATGCTTCTGTATCTGCTTATATAGTATCAATGGACATATGAGCCATATTATCATATCAGATAGAGATATACATTCAAACCTGCAGTGTTTTAAGAGTGTCTCAAGTAAACAACCCGAAGATGTGAATAGTTAGTTTAGAAGTGATGCCGATGATGTGTGACTACATAGTTTACTTGCAATGCTTCGTTTTCTTATCATTAGTCCATTTTCCCAAAGCAAGTTATGTATGTTATAACAAATATAAGATGTAACTGAGATTTCCCATGGTTTAATTTAAATAGCCGTAAATCATGAATAATAGACCAGCTTACGTAGAAGTCACAATAGAAACACAGAAAGACACCACAGAACAATAGCAATTAGTTCAAGAATGGAAAATCACCATTATAAGAGGAGGAAGAGAAACGTCGAAGTTCGGCATTCCCGTGAGCAAAGGAACAGTTGAGGCGATTACAGCGACCTTTCTGGTAGAGAGCGCATAACCTAGTCTTGAACTGCTTCCGTTCAAACATCATCAACGTTAAGGAATGATTCGATACTCGATAATCTAGTTCGATGAAGATAGATATGATAACCCTAGAATAAGTAGCGTAATTTTCAAGATTTAGTTGATGAGAAAATTGAAAAGATAAAGAAGAGAAAGTGTTGTTTGGGCGATTCGATGGGGAATGAAAGTTACCTTCGAAGTTGGAGAATGAAGGAGTAAAGAAGAGGGAGAGAAGCAACGCTTTACAACGGAATCTAGTGCAGCCAGCCCTGGACTTGGCTCTTGGATCCAAGCAAGGCATATGTGAACTAAAGTGACTACACCATTTTGGGTCGGTCATGATTAAAATAATCGTTTTCAACTAAATTTTGTCAATTATTAGTGTTAGAAGGATGTACTGATTCATATGATTTTAATATGTTGTACGTTTTTTTAAAATATTATATTTTAATAAGATATTATATAGTATAAATAAAAGTGTGTCTTTTATAATGTTTTTCATATATTTTCTCGTTTTCTTTTTAATCTTTTCTTTACTTGTTCTAACATGAGTAATAAAAGACATTGACATGTTTGTTTTTCGAGAACTAAACCTCTAATGAAGATGCGTTTTTGGAATATCTAAAGTTTCGAGCAACTTGAGAGGGACTTGATTCTTTGGTTAGACGGAGAGATTAATAATGGTGAAAGAATCAGAAGTATTGAGAGACTTGTGTCATACATCTCTATTGTGGATGACATTATTTATATTAAATTTCAAGGTTACAAAAAATTTAACAATGTAATAAATTATCATTCACAGTTTGTTCGTCATTGGGACAAAATTTTCGTGTGTGTTCAAACTGACGGCATATATCACATTTTCTTTTCAATTTGTGAGTCATATTCATTTCGGTTCTAATATGTGTGTTATTGTGGCGATCATTCCCCTTGATATGTAGGCCAATATTTCTCTTTTGCTATCACTAGAAAGTTATTGTTGTATATACTTAATATGTTTATGACTTTGTTGGTATGAAAGCCTAATTTTTCAGCTTTTCCTTTGATCTTTGTTGGTATGAAAAACCTCTTACAATCTAAAGGATTGTAAGGTAATCAACAACGCACTTTAAGCAATCAAATGATTTATCTATACAAATTAATTGCACAATCAAAGAGTTTAGCACAATGATGGATCAAAGGAGAAAGAGGGAGAGAGAGAGAGAGAGAGAGAGAGAGAGAGAGAGAGAGAGAGAGAGACGATAATTTGTTTAGGAAGTTCACCAATCGTCCTCGTTAAGGCTACGTCAATTTGGAATTGAGATGAATTTCTTACTATGTGCAAAAAGTTGTTTACAAGAGAAATGAGGCAATCTAACCCTACAAACCATATGTTTAATATTGATCCTAGCAATTTATCTTCCTTTGATTTGAGTTTGATCAAGTCCCCAACAATACCAATTTGATCCACCGTATCGTGCTACTCCTTTGCAAGAAACCACCATTTTTCAAAGTTCTTCACTCGACCGAATCCAAATTGTGTAATTGTTGTATCCTAAAATTCCCAAATGATTCACTGTCTCGAGCTACACCTTTTCAAGAACTCTCTGTTCTTCAAGGCTCTTCACTCGTTCAATCCAATATCTGCATAATCTTGTAAAAACCCTCAAATCCACATTTTGACCTTGAGGTAAAAACTGTCATTGTTTTTTCAATGAAACCCTCTATGATTCTCAACCCAACCTTAGGTTATAACCAACCTAAATTGGACGTTATAAACCAAGATTAGATGGCACCTAAACAATGAATGATTATGTGTATGTTGTTTATGTGTATGCACAGATTCAAGGTTGGAGCTGATGAGCAATATTAGTATATGTTTATAGTTTCATCAAGTTAAAAATATGCATGTGTGAAGTATATATAAGTGTGCAAGTTGGAGGCAAAAAGGAATCTAGAAGTTTGAAAAGAAAAATATTTTTTGCAAAATGTTGACACATGTGTCAACACATTGCAGGTTGTGTGTCGACACATGTAATGACATTGTCGACCTGTATGAAGGCATGCGTCGACGCGTGATTCTAGAGGCTTTTAGGCTTTTAAAACACAGCACATGTGCCGATGCATAGATTGGATGTGTTGACACGTATAAATTAATTTTATGCAAAAATATATTTTTAATGACATGTGTCGACGCATATGAGTTCTTTGCGTCGACACATAGTTATAGAGCCTCCAAGCTTTATTTTTTAGCTACATGTGTCGACATACAACATAGATGTGTCGACACATAACATGGATGTGTCGACACATCCAACTGACTTTTATACAAAAAATTATTTTTGATGCATGATACCTATCGACAACCTTTTCAAACATATTATAGATGTATTTTAAGATTTCTAATACAAGGGTGCACATAATGACTCATAGATGTCGTTCAATATACGGAAAAGCTAAATTAATCCTAGTTTTGACATCATGCAAAAATATCTATCTAAGAGGCAAATGCATTCACATACTCCCCTTTTTTTATGATGGCAAAACTTTAAAACTTGTGATGATGTTTTTCATGTACTTATGAAGACTCCCCCTGAATTTGTGCATCTTAAACGTCATATTCGTATATGATTCTCCCTCTTTGAAAATATCAAAAAGAGACAAAATAAGCCATGAGAAGTATCAAATATTACAAAGATACAAATATACCACACAAAGGCGTTTTTCACAAGTAAGAACACACACTTATATATACCTATATATATGGAATGATGCAAGAGATGAAACATAAGTAAGAGACAACAACAACCAATATTATAGCATCATTGTTGGAAATTTTCATAAAAGCATAATAAAATATGAAACATTGTAAACACTTTTATAAAGTGACATACTTAATAATACACAAACAGAAACAAACCATAAGTTCAACATGAGATGCAGTACGCAAAAGACATGGAAAAATGCATGAACCAAAATGAAAACAAGTCTCACATGACAAAGACACCAAATAATAACGGCCCTTATGACCTCAATGATATGGTATGCCCCCACGACCCATGTAATTGTGCACTCTTGGTAGAATTCAGTAGACTCCTCGTGATTTGAAACACCTAGAGTCATCATATTGTTTATCCTGGTCTGCACAACTGCATCATGGCTAATCATCCCTTTGTTGAAGTGAAGTGCAAGTGCATATGAAGCGAAAGCATCAAAATTTGAATCATGAGCAGACACTTGTTCTTGAACAGTTCTGAACCTTTCTTGTTGAGCAGTTTAAAAGTCAGCCCTCCAGCGTAATTCCTCCTTATACCATTCATCTTGCTTAATCTGCATATTTTGGAGCATATCCATTAAAGCATATTTATTACCAGATGTAGTCCCAAAATTACCTTGCGAGCCAGATCCACCCTATTGGTATTTGTGATACGGTGGGAGAACTGACTTGGGTGCGTTTGATCGCAAATGTTGCGGTTAGCAAGAGTCGCCACCGACTTTTCTTTTATCCAAAAGGAAAGGTGAAAAGGCACAAGAAAGACCTTTGAGATTATTTCTTGAGTTCGGGGGGTAGATTATGAAAAGGGAAGGTATTAGCAACCCTTTTATTCATGGTTATCCATGGGCTCTTAGTTACTTGCTAGATCACTTGCTTTTGTTTGAAATTGTGCTTTGTGTGGTTTTTGAAAGTATTTTGTAAAGAGGCCATTGTTTAGGCAATCTTCGTAATGATTCTTGTTTGTAAGAATGTATACAAAGATGTTTGATCTTTTGAAAATGTTTTCAATTTTGTAAGATGTTTGAAAGTGTATGTGATTGTTTTGAAAATAGCAAGGATGTTTGTTTTGGAATGGAGCAAGTAATTAGGAGCAATCTAACTACTCAAATATCTTTCTTGTTCATTTTCTTTTCCTTTGACATTGTTGTCTTACCATTGATTTGGTAAGCAACCCTATCTTTGGATGTAAACGGGACGGGTGTGGGTCATCGTATAACCATGATTAGCAATATTACAAGGTATCTTAGCATTCTTTTTTAGGGACTAAGATCATTTGTAAGGCAACTTAGATAGCGTCATCGAGGGACTATGATCTTGTATTTGCTTGTTTTTGCTAAGATACCTTACATGCGTAATATGGTCATTTTGTATAAGGCAACCAAGTGGGGTAACCCTATGGGTGCTTATGTGCATGTGTATTGTTTTCATGCTTGATTTTGTCTTGAATTAGGTTTTTTCTATTTGATTGATTTTGTTCTTTCCATACAAACCCTAATTATTAGCATTTGTATATAAAGCGATAAATTGCGGAATTTTAAAGTTACTACGCTATTACAATACTTGTGGGAGGAAGGTATACAATTTGTGAATGGGGATTGCAATAATATAAACATAATTAATCTATTACAACCAAATTGAATAAATGTACAAGGAAATGAATAAATATAAAGTACAAATGCAAATGGAAAGAAATGATTTTTGTTTCGATTTTTATATGAAAAGGGTTTTAACCTAAACCTAATTAGAGAAAAATAATTAATCAAAATTAAATTAACTTAAACTAATTAAGAAAAGAAATTAATTAAGAAAATATTTTTGAATAAAACCCTAATTCTATTTAGTTGATTAAAAGAAAATAAGTTTAGAGAAAAAGTATTTTTGTGTTTTTTGCCTTGAAAATAATATATGGTGTTGTAAAATATTTTTGGCCTTTTTTATATTATATTAAAATAATATATTTAAATAGGTATAAAAGAAAATAAATAATAACCTAGTTTTAATTTAATTTACAAGATAATTAGTAAAGATAAATAAAGTATGATGAATAAAAATAATTTTTTGTGTGAGAAAAATATTTAAATTATGTCAAAACATAAATCTACTATTTTTATATTTTTTATGACTTTTTAGTATTTTAGAAAATATATTTAAAAGGAAAAATGAAATGAATAAATAAATAAATACAAATGGGCCAGGGGGTGCCAAAAGTCAGGATGGGAGTCAGCAAAAAGAAAAAAATCAACAGGCCCACTTATTGGAAGCCCAGGCGCCTA